AAGAACAAGCTGCATAACTACTAGTCGCTCCTAGAAGGGTTTGTAGGGATATTTCGACGTCGCTCTTCATCAGCAGCTATAGCTCAGTTGGTAGAGCGCTCGGCTGTGAATCCAGTCGCCGCGCGCCGTGGGTTCGAATCTCCACAGGTCCGCTCGAGATTTTACGCCGCATCATCTCTCGATTGGTGAGTCAAAGTGTTTAGTGTGTGTCTCTCGTCTCTCTAATTAACTTGTGTAATACTTGTATGTACTGAATAAACCACTAAATAGTTGATGATGTGTGAAAAGCAAACTTGTACTCTTCACAAGTAGAGTGCGCTCCTGATCAATTTTTGGTATTATCTAACATGAGTTTCTCACTTATTTTTCATAAGCTTTTTACGTAAAAAACTCGTGAAATGATTCCCAATTCGTCAACTGGGAACTTTTTTTTACGAGTTCTTTACGAGTTCTGTATATGTTGCGCATCTTCATTTCACAATGTTTTCAATTTTTTTTTACAAGTTTTTCACGGTCCGTTGCTACAAGGGTTGTAGTCAATTCGCTTACAAATTCCAGGTGTACTGCTTTAGTAGCCATACAAATAAATAGGGCTAGATACCCCTTCGTTTGCCTTGCATTTCTGAGCTTGTTTTCTTTGACTTGGAATGGTCCGTCGTAGTCACACGCTGTATTGAGAAACGGATATGCTGCCTGAACTCTCCATTTTGGTAAATCGCCCATAAGTGGCTGCGTGAATTTTGGTCTGACTTTAAAGCACTGGATGCACTTTTGAAGTTTAGATCTGACTACAGCACGCCCATTAATTATCCAAAATCGCTGATTGATTGCTGCTAAAGTTGAGCTGGGACCGCCGTGAAGTGTCATATCATGATAATAGTCGATTACCAGTTGAGTGAAATGATGATTTTTAGGCAATAAAATGGGAAATTTGAAGTCGTAGCTCATGTCTGAGTGCCTGAGTCGACCACCGACTCGCAATAATCCCTGTTCATCTAAAAAAGGACGAAGTTTGCATAAAGAGGCCGGGCTCTCTTTTTTCTCGCTCAGTGTTCTGATCTCTGCTTTAAATTCTTTGCCTTGAATAATTTTTATCCACCAGTGCCGGGCTTCTTGTAGCTCCGCACTAGAAATCTGTCCAGTTCTTTTCTGGGTAGGATGCCGGGTATTATGGATAAATCTCAACATCCAAACGGTGGTTCTGAGCAGAGGAACAAATCCTGAAAATGATTTTAAGAAAGTTTCCCCCCATGATTCATGTTTATTTTGTACCAGCGTGACGATGTCCGGTAGTTTGTCGATGATTTCTGCTTTGCTTTCTGGGTCAAATGGACTCAACTTCGGCCAATTTTCTTCTGGCTCTTGCAACCATTTTGGTCCATGCCACCATAAACTGTTGTCGGCCAATCTGTCTGGCATGCAGCCTCGGCTGGCCAGATCGCTCGGATTATCTTCAGACTTGACATGCCCCCAATGTTGTGGTGTTAATACTTCTAAAATTCGAGTAACTCGATTAGCGACGAATACTTTGAGCCGGTAGGGAGGAATTTGGAGCCATGATAAGACGACTGTGGAGTCTGAATAGGCGAACACCTTCCTGATTGGATGAGCCATTGAACATATGTAGTGAGCAGCATCTAGTAACTCTGTTAATAGCGCCGCCCCCTGCAACTCCAGTCTGGGGATGCTCATCGGTTTGAGCGGTGCCACCTTACTTTTCGCCATTAAAAGGCTGGTTTTGACCTCACCGGAGCTGCTTTCGACCCTCAGATACACATTGCCGCTGTATCCTAATTTACTGGCATCGCTAAAACCGACAAGATCAAATTTTACTCCATCGATCAGAGACACATGACGCGGAATACGGATCTCGGAAATTTTGATGAGTTCTTCGGTGTACTTTTTCCACTGTGCTTGAAGCTCGAGGGGCACCGCTTCGTCCCAATCTATGCCTAATAACCACAGTTGTTGAAGGAATTGCTTGCCTTTTAGCATAATTGGTGATATCAGGCCAAGTGGATCAAAGATTTGGGCGACAACTGAGGCGATACCTCTTTTTGTGTACACCGGTGTGATTTTCTCAACCTTGAATGAGAATATATCGCTGCTTGGCTGCCATTGTAATCCGAGAAGCGATTCGGAACTGTCTGCATCTGAAAATTCTACTGGAGTTTTGAGATTGGACTCCGGCAAGTCCTCCAATATTTCTGGGTCATTGCTTGACCACTTTTTCAGCTCCATGTTGCATTCACCGGCGCATTCGATTATTTCATCTCTTGCGTGTTTTGTCTCTTGAATAGAATCTGCTCCGGCCAAAATGTCATCGACGAAAACCTTTTTTGTGAGAATCTCTTTGGCTACGGGATATTTTTCGCCAGTATTTTCGCCGTGCTGGCGCATGGTGCGCAGACATACATAAGGAGAGGATGTTACTCCATATGTAACTGTTTGCAGTTCATATTCTTTGATGGGCTGAGATGGATCTTCGCGCCATAATATTCGCTGATATGGCCGATCCTCTTGATTAACTAAAATCTGACGATACATTTTGCAAACATCTGCTGTGAAAACATACCGCGGAAATCTGAATAGAGTTAACACTTGAATTATGTCTGTCTGTAGTTTTTCTCCCTTCAGAACCACATCATTTAATGCTTTGCCAGACGTAGTTTTCATTGAAGCATCAAAAACCACTCGCATTTTTGAGCTTGTGCTGGTTTGTTTCCATATCCCATGGTGGGGAATGTAATATTTGCCCTGACCTATCGAATCATTATCTACTTGTTTCATATGCCCGAGCTCCTCATATTCCTTCATGAAATCTTTGTACGCGTTTCTGAAGTCTGGGTTTCCATTTAATCGATGCTCTAATTTGATCAGTCGATTTTTTGCAAGATGATAAGAATCCCCAAGATTCATCTTTTCTTCGGTGAGAAGCATAGGGACTGAATATCTACCATCGCTGTCTCTTGAGTGCTTTTCCGTGAAAAGTTCCTCAGCTAAGAGGTCATTCGGACTTTTCACTGGCCTTGACGGGGGCTCCTCTATCTCCCAATGTCGTCGAAGGCAAGTTTCAATTGGTTCTGAATTGATGGACAGCAAAGCAGTGATTGGTGCTGATTCTGAGGTTGTCACTGCTGCTATGCGTGTTGCGTCATGCGGGGCGCTAAATTTGCCCGTCATGACCCATCCATAAATGCTGCTTAGCGCTATTGGCCAATTTTCATCGAGGATGATTTTTCTGCCATCATAAATATGAGGGTACAGGTCGGCTCCAATTAGTAGATCTACCGGGCCTGGTTTCATCCACTCTGGATCTGCCAAAGTCAATGTCCTGAGAGGTTTGCTCATTGTGTTGGGAAGACTTATATTTGGCAGATCGGTGGTGATTTTTGTCATTATTGTCGCTGTTGATGTGAATACTGGCTGCGATTCAATGCGAGACTTGATCTCACATTCTACAGTACCATGAATATCATTGACTGCCTGGTTGCCTAACCCTGAAATTGGAGGCGCTTCCTTGTGGATTTTTAGACCCAATTTGTGTGCACAGCGCTTAGTTATAAATGTAGACATAGCAGCACTGTCGATGAGTCCTCTGACAGGTTGATAACCACCAAATGAATCTTTGACTAGAACTAGAGCAGAGAATGCATGCGTATTCCTTTGGTTTTGAGTTGGAAACCATAGCTGTCTTGGGAGGTTTTGATGAATCTTGATTTGACGTGTCTTCTAAGTGTAGAAGTGAATTATGCCTTTTATGACATGTTTTGCAGGTGTATTGGTTCTTACAAACCGAACTGGAGTGATTGAATTTCATGCAGTTGAAACACAGGTTTTTCTCCTTGACAAATAATCGGCGTTCAGGGATTGATTTAGCTAAAAATGATTCGCAAAAATAAATGGGATGGTCTTGAGTGCAACATGGACATTTTTGTTGAGACGAATTCTGTTTCGGCTTAACTGAGGCCGTGAGTGTCTGCTTTGATGGTGGTTGATTGTGTTTCGGCTTAGTTGACTTGGCTGCCGAACCATCTAATTGAAGGCACTCTTTTTCGAGGAAATCCACTAGGCTATCGATGGTGGGATATTTCGTTTCCGTGCCTCGAAAATCATCAAACCGTTTTCGAAAGTAATTATTTAACTTTTGTACCATGACTGCAGTGAGCATTGAAGAGTACTCGGACAGTTTGTGATCGAGGCCCTCCAATGCCTGGGTGTGCTCTCTGTATTTTGTCAGAAGTGAAGGAATTTGCTGGACATCCTTCACTTCTGGCAAGTCAAGCAACCCGTTGAAGTGATGAAAAATATGCCTTCTTTCACATTGAAAGCGCTGACATAATATTTCCCAAGCCACATCATAATTTGAGTCGGTGATGTCTAACCCTTTTACCAAGTCCAGTGCCTCGCCCTTCAATGACGTGAGAAGGTACTGGAACTTTTTAACTTTCGCTAACTCATTTACATTATGGACAGAGACCATGAATAAATTATAAAAACTTCTCCAATCCTCTAATTTTCCAGTGAATTGAGGTAATTCAAGTTTTGGAAGTCTAACATTTGAGGATGAATGACTTTTAACATGAGTACTATGATTATTGGATACCTCAATTTTCGATGTTTTAGGAGTGAGCGAAAGAAAACGGACTTCGGCTGCAAGTATTGTCTCGTCAAATTCCACCTGCGCCTGTTCGATGTCTATTTTGGAATTAATAGGTAAATCAGAATTGAGACCTATTAATTCTGCTTGAATTAGATCGAATTTATCCTGGAACCCTGACAATCGATCAAACAAAGGTTTAAATTGCTCAGAATTTTCATCTGAAAGCTCATCATTGAATGTTTTTTCTATGGCCTTAACCCTAGAAAAAACTATATCTCGTTTTTTCTGAAGTGAGTCTGCTAATTTTTCACTTTCATTTACCTCAGGAGAATGAAGGTTGCGTCGTTTCACCATTATGAATTAATTCTGGACTGTAAATATGCAAGTTATAATCCGGCCCGAGGGACCAAAAAATGAAGAGTGACGGCTCAAAAAAATGATGAAAAAACAACAATAGACCTAAAGGTTGAAAGTGAATTTTACCGAGGGACCAATTGAAGAAATGATAGGAAAGAAAGAAAAGATGGAATAGGATATGAGGTTTAGAGTGAGACAAGTGAAGAGCCGTAGCGACCCCCCAATTTGCCTTGGCTCGGAAAATGAGAGTGAGAAGAGAAAGATTCGAGGTGACTGCAAAATTGATTTAATGATCTGGAAAAGATCCTGCTTGGAGTTTTTATTTTTACCAGACTCTGAGTGAATCGGCTACTATCCGTGGATAGGAAACCTGAAGGGTTACCAGGCGTATAGTACACCGGCTTCTGCCGTAAGCAGGAAAACCAGAAGGGTTTGAATATTGAGAGCTGTGTGCTATTGCACTTATTATTAATTCCAGATTCCGAAGAATTGGCTTCTCCAAATTGGAGGTGGTATACAAACGGTATGAGTCCGAAATAGAGATGACTTGAAGGTGAATAATTTTGAATGCTTGAAAAGATGAATTTGCTTCGATCTGTGTAATGATGACCGCTAATGCTTGACCTTGGTGCCAATATAACGGGAGACTGAACTTCGGTCTTGATCCAAAAAACGCCAATTTCTTGCTGAGCTCCTTAGGATGTTTCTTCAGCTGCTTGCTTGGCTTGATTTGACTTGATCCTTGTTGAGAGCTTGAGAGTGAAGTGCTTCTTGGTCGACTGCTGCATTCAGAATGAATTGATTAGCGACTTGCGGGTATATTTATATGCAGATTTCCTTTGTGTGCAAATGGAATGCGGGAAACCAACTTGATTGTGATTGGTCGGTTGGCGACGCAAGAGTGAATTGGGCGGGAAAGCTGCCACTGACCGCTGAATTTGTATTGCGCGGGCTCTGTTGTGGCGAAGTTCAAATCTCGTGCGCCGCGGTGACTTGTGATTGGCTGCGGCAGGTACTGCGATTGCGCGCTGACTCGTCATTGGCGGCGGCGCTTGCGTGCTGCTGAACAAAGGATCTCATTACTGCGCGGTTGAAAGTTGACGTCTAGTGCAGAGTTGTTCGCCCGATCACCAAGGTTAAGCTACACTGATCGTAATGCTTGAAATGGAGACCGTTTGGGAACATCGCAATTTTACATCATTTTACACGTTTTAATTTTGTGAATTGGTCTGATATGAGTTGAGAATGCTGAGAAATTGATTTTAAGAACTTATTATAATTATTATTATTTTTTATAAAGTGGAAATCAGACACATACTGATAACTACCGTCAGAAAGAGAGCAAAAACACTCTCGTTCGATCCACCGAGCTGACTAGTGTTTTGTGCGTTTTTGCTCCGCTTTTCTCTCTCGGTTCTCGTTAGTTTTCGTCTTCTGTTTTCGTTTTTTGTGTTCCTTTTTGTTCTTATGCCCTCCAGTTAGTTTTTTTCCTCCTTTTTCTAGTCCTTTTTCCTTGGTTGTTTCTTTTTTCCTTTTCTAAGTTTTTTGTTAATCTAACTCCGTGCCCATGTGGTAAGTCCGTCTTTTCTAACCTCTGTCTCCCTATGACAGCCTAAATGTCTGATCCTCCAGTAGATCCAGGGGACCGGGGACCCCCTGGTGGTACCTCTCAGATAGTTCCTGGTCCCACAATCGCTGATCCATCAGTTAATTCTGTTGAAAGTAGAAGAACTATCATTCTAAAGAATATAGAGGATCTACTTTACCCTGAGAACTCGACAGGCCCCTTTGTTATCTCTTTATCTCCAGATGGCTTAGGTAACAAACATGCTACCCTTATAGGAGAATCTCTTTATAGATACAATGTTCTTGGTACCTATAAAGTCTTTCAAAAATATTAACAAAAATTTAGTCAACATCGAATTTGTGAAACGTGATCATGCCAATACTCTGGTTTCCAATCACAAATCTATTCTCCCCTACGAAAATGCTAAGGTTTTCATTCCCCTTAATTATACAGGGTGTTCGAAAAGTCCCCTCCCCCCCTCTAACTTTTGACCTAATTGAGGTAGAGATTTGAAACTTGGAGGGTGTTCCTAGATAAAAGGGAGCTACTTTTTGACCCCCCCCCAAAATTTTTGGGGGGCCCCATTTTGGGGGGGGGGG